GTTGGGTAATGAAATGTCTATCAGAAAACAAGTTCAAAGAGCTCCAAGGACCCCACAATTCAACCCTGAGCTACAAATACTTTCTTTTTTGTATGTAAATATTGATAAGCATTTGTCTTTGTAGAAAGCGTCTTTCCTATTTCAGGTATTTCAGAATACAACTGATGCATCTATATAGCACTTAGCAATAGTACTTAGACTTATATACTGAGGTGGCGCAGTGGTTAGAGTGCAGTACTGCAGCTACTTCAGCTGACTGCTAGTTCAGCAGATCAGCGGATCAAATCTCACCGGCTCAAGGTTGACTCAGCCTTCCATCCTTCCGAGGTGGATAAAATGAGGACCCAGATTGTTAGGGGGCAATATGCTATTTAGTATACTGTCTTTGGTGTAAGCCGCCCAGAGTCCTCGGAGAGTGGGCGGCATAGAAATATGACTAATAATAAAATAAAATAAATAAAATACCGCTTCACGGTGCTTTTACAGCCCTCTCTAAGTGGTTTACAGAGTCAGTATAATGTCCCCAACAATTTTGGGTCCTCATTTTACTGACCTTGAGAGGATGGAAAGTTGAGTTAACCTTGAGCCTGGTGAGATTTGATCTGCCAAATTGCAGGCAGTCGGCAGTCAGCAGAAGTAGCCTGGAATACTGCACTCTAACCATTGTGCCACCATGGCTCATATGCCTAAATATCAGCATATTGAGCCTAAACTGCAAATTTCCCTCAGGTCGCATCATGAAATATTTTAACTATTTCTCATACTTTTAGAAGTGATTTCGTTGCAGAATGGCAAGCTGGAGAGCAAGGCTGATGCCACTGTTTCAAGAACATGCTTGACACTTCCTTGGGTATATAGAACTGATTCTGTGAATTTAGAATCCTAGTGTATAAAATCTTTGGTCACAATAATTGGCATATTTAAACAAGACAAATTAATTAAAAAAAATAAAGTTAATGAATACCTTATGTTTTCTATTTTGATTAGAAGAAAGTAAAAATCTGTTCATTTAATTGCTATTAATTTTTCTGTTGATTAATCTGCAATTAAAATACTGCTCAATGCATGAAAAAGAATTTAGGAACTTGATAGTCTCCCATAAGGAATGATGGATCCATAAATAAAGTAGATCAGCTGATAGCTTGTAAATAATTGGTACAGAGAAAATGAGCAACATCCATTCAAATCACTTCAACAAAGGGAACATTATGTGACATTGACCTGGTTTACACATTGCACATTTCATGATATATTTGCTAGTTTGCTAAACATGTTGTAGAAAACTGTTACAGCTTATAATAATTTAGTTTGTGTGAACCTAGTCAATTTTGCTTTATATATGGACCTAGACTGTGCATGCATTTTTTTTGGCACTCCACATACACTGCCTACTCAGTGTTTATAGCTCTGTGTTATACCTTCTGGTTGTTCCACGGAAAGAAAAGAGGAAGGTCTCTAACTGGGTACGCCAGGGGTCAGCAACCTGCTGCTCTGGAGCCTCATGTGGCTCTTTCACCCCTCTGCTGCGGCTCCCTGTCACTCAAAATATGCGTCACAACCGCCAATGTGTGACACCCACCAGCATGCGATTTATTGAGCTTTTCAACCCCCGGTAGGCCAACCATGGATAAATCCAAGAAAAGAAAAAAGTTTTAGAAGAAAACAGAACATTTAATTCAACTACATATGCTAGTTTTGTGGCTGCTCAAGAAATAGTCAGGCATGGTAAGAGTTTTGTGGCTCCCGGTGTTTTCTTTTCTGTGGGAAATGGGTCCAAATGGCTCTTTGACTGTTTAAGGTTGCAGACCCCTGGGGTACTCCATGACAATCCAAGGAGAAAGGTGGTCCTGAGAACCTCAAGAACAACTCTGGGAACATATGAACATCCTATTTATAAGACAACCTACCTCTGTAATCTTAGAGATTGTGGGTGGTTAAACCAGTTTGGTCTAGTGGCTAGAAACCAGGAGGCTGTGAGTTCTAGTCCCGTCTTAGCCATGAAAGCCAGCTGGGTGATTTTGGCCCAGTCACTTTCTCTCAGCCGAACTTATATCACAGGATTGCTGTTGTAGGACAAATAGGAGGAGGAAGGAGTCAGTTCAACACCCTGAGTTATTTATCAAAATAATAAAGATGGGAGATAAAATAAATAAATAAAAATAAAGATTCAGCAAGAAATAGCAAGTATGGAGATACACTTGATGGCCATCAACCAGGCATGGAGATACATATCATCAGCCAAACTGGGTGAAAGCAGAGGAACATATATGCTTCAATGAGATCTTTCCCAAAAACAGACTGGCTACAGACCTCTGTTCTTTCAAAACATGCATGAAAAGTCTGGCATTTTCTTGACTATGGTGTTATTTTAGCTGGTGTTAAGGACAGAGAGCTGTTCTGGTATAAAATCATGCCGATTACTGAGCTTTTCCATTGTATAATAATAGACCTCATTATTTCCGAATCTGGCATTTTCTAGATTACCGCTGCCCCTATCCTACCCAGTATAGATAATCTTTAGATGGGGTTGCTGGAGTTTTATGTTCCATCATCTGGAAGATTCTGAATTGGGGAAATCCACTGTATCACTGTATGAGCTGTGATTAGAATGCAGTCTTGCTAACTCACTGCTCACTGCCAGGAGTTTGATCCTGACCGGCTCAAGATTGACTCAACCTTCCATCCTTTTGAGGTGAGTAAAATGAGGACCCAGATTGTTGGGGGGCAATGCGCTAACTGTGTAAATCACTTAGAGAGGGCTGTAAAGCACTGTGAAGTGGTATATAAGCCTACGGCTATTGGTATTGCTGTCCCTTTCATGGATAGAATGCTTAGATTTACAGCTATTGTTTTGGGGAAATGGTTGCTTGGGGGAATATTTTGACAGAATTTTAAAACATTTCCTTCACTCTCTTGAAAGAAGACGAAGGCATCCATTTTGCTTGAACGTGTGGCCGTTTTCTCTTTCTCTCCCCCTTTCTGATGCTTCCATATCGGGTAACAGCTGGGTGAGGGTAGCACGAGCTGCCTTGTTCTCTGCTGAACTGCTTCTTCTCCTCCCCCCCCCCACTTTTGGCCTTTGTTAAAAATGTTTCTGATAAATAACAGACTCTCCACAGCTGTTCAAACGAAGCTGGAGGAGGGTGGGTGGTTTTCTTTTGGGGAGGGGCGGTTTTCAAATCGACACCTCGGTGCTCATTTGATGCTAAAGTGGGTTTTTGCTTTAGTAGGTAAATAAGCTCTGGTGGAGGTTTTTTGTTTTTTTTTTGTTCAGAAAAATGAGCTATGGGGGCAGCCTGGAAAGACAATGGAGACTGTGAATTGGCCACATCTTAAAAACAAAAGTCCCCTGACCTCTCACTGTGCAAAAAGGGCATTTTGAGAGCTTGGCAAAGGCCCTGTGGGTAATTACTTTAAATGGTGACTTTTACCGCTCTTTTGTTTCATTACAATTGGTGCTATTTCTTCACATGCCTTCAGTGTCAGCTAATTGGTACATGTGCCTTGTTTCTCATCTGAAGTCCATTGACTTCATTAGAACATTAGCATGTGTTCGGGCTTAATTGGGCTCCACTTATTTCGCAAAAGCATGAGTTATTTGTTGCCATTGGGCTGGCTCAGCTCTTCGGCACGATGAAAAGCGAGCATGAGGCCTATTTGCGTGCTTCTTTGAACTGATTTCTACAAACACAAGGGCTTTCTTTGTTGGGGCTCACTTTTGGAGACACAGATCAAGAGTTATCACTGGAATATTTAAAAACAGGATTGGAAGAGGGTGGCAAAAAGGGTTCTTTTCCTCCAACTGGAAAGTGCCTTCCTCGTTTCTACTTTGACCTTGGATTCAAAGTAAGCACAGTATGGGTAATCCTCCTCTTACAAACATTCGTTTAGTTACTTTCGAACTTACAAGGGGACTGCAAAAAGGACTATTTTCACACTTATGACTGTTGCAGCATTCCCATGTTGCCATGTAATCAAAATTCTGATGTTTGGCAACTTGTTCATATTTATGACGGTTGCAGAGTCCCGGGGTCGTGTGAATCACCTTTTGTGACCTTCTGACAAGCCAAGTCAATGGAGAAACCAAATTTGCTTAACAACCGTGTTACTGACTTAGCAACTGCAGTGATTCACTTCACAAGGGTGGCAACGAAAATCATAAAATGGGGCAAAAAACTCCCTTAACAAATGTCTCTCTTAGCAACATAAATTTTGGACTCAGTTGTGGTCGTAAATTGAGGACTACCTGTAACTGACTTGGCAGGAGCAGTCAACAAGGATGTGGCAAAGAAGTGGGGTGGCGGTGACTTTTCCCTCTCTTGTTCTTTTCTTTGTTCCACACACTGCTTAATCATTACAGTTCCCATGAGGTCTCCCCATTTGGGTTGCCGTATCCTGGCTGCAAAAATCTGGGTGCTTAGGCCTGTCAGCAAAGAGACACAAAAAATTCTAACTATGAGTAGTATTTGTCTCACTTTTTGTGGTTCAAACAGGATAGTCCAAGCAATAAGGTTTGTTAAAGGTACAGGCAGTCCTCATTTAACATTGTTAATATAACTTGGGTTAACATAATTTGTTCAACAAATTATGTTCAACAAAAAGTTACAACAGTGCTGAACATGGGAATTGAAGTCCACACATGGGACTTCATGTGTGGGAGTTGAAGTCCACACATCTTAAAGGTGCCAAGTTTCAGAAACATAGGATAAAATCTATCATATACAACAAAGATACTCATTGTGGACCAGAGAAATATTATTTTAACAAATATCTTATGTTTTACCTTAAACAAATTTGCCCCTCAACTCACACATATGTATGAAATGGGTTGACGCTTGACTTCCTGATGGAATCAGTCAAAGTAGCCATCTCTCTCTCTCTTTCTCTCTCTCTCTCTCTCTCTCTCTCTCCCTCCCTCCCTCCCTCCCTCCCTCCCTCCCTTCCCCTCCCCTCCCCTCCATCCCCATTGAAATGGCTGGTAATTAAAAGATGTGAAGTGGTTTAACTCTTTCTCTCTTGCTTTAATCCTATTGATCTTCACTCCTGGAAAGCGGTTGTTTGCACTGAGAGTGGAGAGAAATATGGTTCGTTGGCCTCCAAAGCTTGACCAGCAGTAATTCATTCTGATCAATTTTCTCTCCTTGCATAACTTGGATCCACATGATAATTTTTGTGTTGCAAAAGAGTATCTAGCGATTAGCCCTTGGAGAAGTTCATGAAGCTCTGCCTTATGAGTAGAATTGTGCTAAGATTGAGTGCCAAGATGCTTGGCTCTTGGGAACACTCAAAAAAATCCACGATCTCCAGAAATGTGGCGGAACCTGCAAATAAGCCAGACTGATATCACATGGTTCTTGACTTTAAATCAACTGTAAAAAGCTCTGTAAATATTCCCTTGTGGCTAAGGGCTGCAAGGAAAGATGGATATTCTGTTTACCACTTTAATGGCAAACATTAAAGTGTTTCCCGCTCCCCAAGAAAGCATTTCCATCATCATTTCTATATTTAGGGAGGGAGCTTCATGTATTGTTTAGCAACCTTTGGATGTAAGAGGCATATGAGTGCGCCATTCCTTTCCCTGCCCTCCTTTTCTCTCAGCTATAATTCTTGGTTGCCAAACTAAACTGCAGAATTGCATCTTCCATCTTCCAGCTAATGGAGGCTGCTTTGGAATCGTGCCAGAGAGACTGCCACAGCTCTTACCAGCCTGCTTCCTGAGACCACACTGGGCTCTGTGTCTGTCTGTGTGTGTGTGTGTGTGTGTGTGTGTGTGTGTCAGCATTCGTGGCTGATCTCATGAGCAGTCTCTTCTGGCCTTGGGCTTCAGATTGTCCGTGGCTGCCATAAAGACTAACAAAATTATTAGGGCTCTTGGGAACCAATCTGCATAATCAGAAAACCATTTCCTTTTCACTGCCAGATGTTGAATAGTTCTTCTAAGTACATTACAGAGAGAACATTGTTTTAATGGTACTTCTGAAATCTTCCGTAGAGGAGAAATACACTGTAATTAATTCTTATAGTAATATAAAGAAAGTACATACTGTTATCAGCTATTAGTTGACTTATATCCCACTTTTTCTTTGGAACGTGGCTCAGATCTCCAGGCGTCCAGCTGTGCCATATTTTCTCAACTTAATTGGATGCAGTTTATCCCGGCTGAGGTTTGAAAATATGATACCACTGCCATAATGCAAGCCTTGTTTTTTCCTCTGTTCAAGAAACGTAGCTGTGTTTGTAAGACTTTCGCGGGGGCGAGAATTTATGGTGTAGAATTAAGATTTAAGGATGCATCTGACTTTCTTCTTCCTGTTGGTCCAGAAACTTTGTTTCAAAAGCAATGAACAGGGTGGTGCAAAATAGATCATTAATGACAACATTCCTAAGGACTGCCTAGTCAGGCATGGCTTACATAGATTTTTCAGCTCCTTCCATTCCACTTAACTGAGGTCAGAAAGGCAGCTGATTCTTAGAATGAGTTGCCTCATTTGTCTGAAGTTCAGAGTGGGCTGCCTGTCGATGCACCCAATTGCGATATCCTATCCCAGTTCTTCTCAACCTTGGCGGCTTTAAGATGTGTGGTCTTCAAGCAAGCTGGCTGGGGAATTCTGGGAGTTGAAGTCCACCCATCTTAAAGTTGCCGAGTTTGAGAAACACTGGTCTGGACAATTGTGATATAATTACCTATTCATTATTAACACAACACACAAATCAGTGGTGGGTTTCAAAATTTTTTACTACCAGTTCTGTGGGTGTGGCTTAGTGGGTGTGGCTTGGTAAGCATGGCAGGGGAAGAATACTGTAAAATCTTCATTTCCACCCCACTCCAGGGGAAGTTACTGCAAAATCCCCATTTCCTCCCAATCAGCTGGGACTTGGGAGGCAGAGAATAGATGGGGGTGGAGCCAATCAGAATTTTTACTACCAGTTCTCCAAACTACTGAAAATTTCTGCTACTGGTTCCCCAGAACTGGTCAGAACCTGCTGAAACCCACCTCTGACACAAATGAACCTTCACAACTGGTTACTTTGTAGAAAAATCATGTGACTTTTTTTTCAATAGGTGTGCAGATCCTGGTAAAACTGCCCCCCCCCCTCATGTTTGTACCTACTGGTTAGCCTTTGGGAGGAAATAAATAGGAGAAAAGAGCATAGACCCAAGAATCATATGGGTGCCTTTGAAATAGAATCCGGAATAGGAATGCATTGTGTGGAATATGTATTTTGAATTCTGCAAGAAATAGAAAGAAAATGGTATACCAAACGAATCACACAAAAGGCAGCATGCTTTGGGATGTAGATTCATCAGAGCCTTGATATTTACTTTCTGGAAGGGAACATTTTGGGAAAGAAACCAACATAATGGAAGGCTTTTCTAAAACACATTCCTGGGGCACATATTATTGATTAATAAACCTTAAAACATTGTTTAATTGTGTTTTTTGGTCTGTACTGTGTGCATGTGCAGATAAAGTAAGTAAAAACAGGCATTGTTACACAATCCTCTCCACATTAATTCATCAGTTTGCAAAAATTGGATATGAATGACTGCTCACATTTTTCAGTATTTGGCTAAAGGACAGGTCTGTCTACCTGCTTTGTTTATTACATGCTGCCTAGTCTCGTGCATGTTTAGCAGAACCGAATGCAAAGGAATTTCTACAACAAAGGAAATCTTAGATTGAAATCATGTGTACATTTCTTTAGGAGTGAGCCTTAGAAAACAAAAGGATGGACATCTAAATTGAAACAATACTATTTTTTTTTATCATTTACAAGGAATTGGGATTATTCACATTAGAACTTGCAGATCGGTCTAAATCTCATCAGAGACATGTGAATGAATATTGGATTTTATACCATCACTTTTTTTCTTTTGTAATTTATTGAAAAATAAAGGACATTTCTGTGCAAGTTTTCTTTTATAAGTTTAATTGTATATGGAATGATTCTCATATAAGCAATATTTAATAAATTTCACAATGAGCCACCTAATATATATCTGATTGTAATCCAAGAATACATGCTTTTTGAAGGCCACTACCAATAATATCCAATTAAGTTATTTCCCCAAATATATAGTGCCATTGTATATGAACTGCAAGGAGTTCCATGCATTATTCTATGCATTATTTCCATGCAGTAAAAGAGATCAGGGATTTCTCTCCCTCCCTCCCATTTCTGTCTCTCTGTCTCTCTCTCATCATCTATCTATCAATCTAGCAAACATACACCTCTTTCTTCTCCAGATGATGATCAACATATGAAAAAGTCACTATTATTTATGTGAATCAGCTCTAGCAGCTCTTCTGTAGATGGAACAGTTGTAGGTGACTTCAAAATGAAGATGTCTATTTGATCACAGATAGAGTTGACCTTCCTTCAATAGTGATCCAAGGACAGCAACTATTAGGTGGTTTTTCTGATGCTACTCCCAACTCTCTGATGTTAAGGTTGCTTATTTTGCAACAAATGGGAAACACCATCTGTGTGGGGGTGGGCGGGGGTGGGCGGGCGAGAAGTTGTTGGGGAAGTTCTGGAGATCATAATGCTGAAGTGTAATGTTGCACACTGCCAAATGACAGGGGCAACATTAACATTTCCGATAGCTTTTTTCCCCCAACCTCAGTGAAAAAACCTCCCCAGTCCTGATAGTCATTTAAAATAATAAAAGATATGAAACATATGAAGAACGGTTACAAGAATTGGGTATGGCCAGTCTAGAGAAAAGTAGGACTAGGGGTGACATGATAGCAGTATTCCAGTATTTGAGGGGCTGCCACACAGAGGAGGGGGTCAACTTATTTTCCAAAGCACCAGAAAGCAAGAGAATAAAGTGGTTATAAGTCAAGGACTACCCGTACATGCAAGTAGCAAGTAGCAGGAAACTCTTTCTTGGAGTTTATTGAACAGTGATCCTTTCTAAGGTAGGTAAATTGAGGACCCAGTTGTGGGGGCAATAAGCTGACTTTGTATAAATATACAAAATATACAAAAGGATGAAGGCTATTGCTTAGCACATTGTAAGCCGCCCTGAGTCTCCGGAGAAGGGCGGCATATAAATCAAATAAAAAAAAAAACCAGTGATGATATTTCTGAGGGCACAACAAGCAACAAGCAACAAGTCAATAAAAAAGCAGAGAGAATGTTTCAGCTGGTGGACATATAGCATATTTTTTGTAATCCATGTAAAAAAAAGAAAGATATAAGAACCACAGTTGGGAATAAGGGTTTATTATTGTTATTTGCTTTTCTGCCTTTCCAGTTCTGAAGTATCAAAGGTGATCTTAAGCATGTGAATGTGTATTCAAGGCGGAGGCTTCACAGGCTCACTTCCCCATCTCTCATTTGTTACAAGGTCAGCTGTGAGTCCATAAACCTGGCCAGTCCCACCCTAGGAAGGCACAAACAGACCTTGATGTGTTAGCACACCTGGGCTTCCTCACAGCTGTTTGATTCACAACTGAGCAACATTCTCGGTTTTTCTAATGCTTTCATCCCCACCTAGCCGCTGTCGGATATTTTAGACTATTCAGTGGATAATTTTCTCCAGAGATTAAATTGCCAAGTGAAATCTAGGGACATTCAAAAACAAAACTAATACCTTTCTGAATGGGAACAAGCTGAGGAAACTCAACTGTGTTGATAAAATTCTATTCCTTTCTTTGTTTTTTCTTTGAAGACGTTTCGCTTCTCATCCAAGAAGCTTCTTCAGCTCTGACTGGATGGTGGGGAACTGAAGGATTTATATTCCTTGCAGACAGCTGGTCATTTGCATCCTTTTAAAGGGTCTTTGAAGCACTTGGAGGTTTATCTACTGTATGTCCTCAGGATCACCTGAGGAGTGCTAATGGTTCCTGTAGTCTGCAATTTTTTGGAAATCCATTCATACTTTCACACCATTTGAAGGGTGTTCATCCCAAATTGCATCGCTAAAAGTCTGTAGAGATTCTCAGTCATCGAGGTCACGGTTGTCCCAAATGTGCTTTTTCAGGAGGCAAGTGGACTTTCTTATTTTTTTTCTTCTTGGATGAGAAGCGAAATGTCTTCAAAGAAAAAACAAGAAAGTCCACTTGCCTCCTGAAAAAGGACCTTCAGGGCAACTGTCATAAAATTTCTCCTTAGTTCTAGATTGCTTCTCTCCTTGATTAGTTTCCATCCATTGCTTGTTGTCCTGCCCTCAGGTGCTTTGGAGAACAGATTGACTCCCTCTTCTTTATGGCAAGGGCTTGGGAGTCCTGTGTTGAGCGGTATGTGTGTATGTCTGAATGTATACTTAGCGATTTGGATTGCCTGCCTGCCTCAGGAACTATTTGGCAGAACAGTGCAAACACTGATTTCTGCATTTGCCTTTTTCTTTTCTTTTCTTTTTCTTTTTCTGCCTCTTTCCATCCTGCTGAAACTGTGAATCAAGGCTAAAAATACCATCTCTCTTGAACTAGCTGAAAAACATAGCTAATTCAAAGGATTCTACAAAGGCAACATGCAAATAAATGAGTGTTGTGGAGTCATTTCCCCTATCCAATGTGGTATCAGCAAGCAACTGTGAAGATTGTCTTTGTTTTCGTTCTAACAAACTCAATCTTACCAGCCAAAGTAAAAAGCATGCTGCCTTTATCTGAAATTGCATTAGCACAACTTATCTCACTTGTTTAGGAAAATGTGGTATTTGCTCCTATATTATGAACTCTTAATCCCTTTATCAGCCCCCAGTTGTGTGTATGTTTCCCAAGACAGGAATCCCACTGAGATAAATAGAACTTGTCTCCAAGGACGTGGACTTAGGTGTTGAGCCTTTTGTTTTGTATCGCCCTGGCATAGCATTGACCTTTTCGGTGAAAGCAGTTGGTAATGGCAGCTCTTGGCAACAGGAATCAAAGGGAATAGAAATGAAACAAGCAAAAACTAAAGCAAATGTTCAGACCCCATTTGGAGTCCCGAGTCTAGTTTTGGGTTCCAGAGTTCAAAAAAGGCAGGGAGAATAAAGTTCAGGGCAGAAGCCACCAAGATGCTGAAGGGTCCAGAAACCAAGCCTCATGAAGGAAGAGTTAAAGGAATGGATTATATTTAGCTACAGAAAAGGTGACTAAGGGGAATTATGATAGCGGTCTCCAAATATCTGAAGCAGGGGTGAAACTGGCAAATACCACCTCTGGCTAGTCCCAGAGGGAGGTGGGAATAGAGATTTTGCAATATCCTTCCCCTGAAGTGGGATGGGAATGGAGATTTTGCAGTATCCTTCCCCTGAAGTGGGGTGGGAATGGAGATTTTGCAGTATCCTTCCCCTGGAGTGGGGTGAGAATGGAGATTTTGCAGTATCCTTCCCCTGCCACGCCCACCAAGCCACACCACACCACACCACGCCAACCAAGCCACGCCCACAGAACCGGTAGTAAAAAAAATTGGATTTCACCACAGATCTGAAGGGCTTTCACATGGAAGAGAGGCCTATTCCCCAGAGGGCAGATCCGGAACCAGTAGGTTACAACGTTAATGAAGGAAGTTCAAGCTTGACATTCAAGAGGAATCCTAGAGTTGGCAGACATGTGAAATGGTGAGGTGTCCTCTATTGGTGGTCTTCCAAAAGAGGCTGGAAGGTCATACATTGGAGATGTTCAACTAGATCAGGCGATGAGCAGGGAATTGTACTAGATAACCTCTATGATGTCTTCCAGATCTGACTCTCTGGTTTTATGATTCACCCCAGAAACTAAATGTTCTTGAACAGTTAGTGAAAAAAAAAAGTAGACTATATAAATCTTTCGAGCTAAAACACAGAAAGGGGAGGAGAATGGAGAACATTAATGGTCCCGAGAGATTCTTCCTTAGTTTTGTCACATTGCTTCTGTTTCTATGATTTATGGAAAAAATTGGTAGGAATATCTTTATTTTTTCTCCCATGCTCAATTTCTAGTACTCAAAGTATTACAATGTTCAGGAAAAAAAAGTTTTATAACAGCAATATCTCTGAGGTACTTTGCTCATCCCCCCCTTTGTTTTTTATAACGAGTTATGTTTGGAAAGCATTCAGCGGGTTTCTGCTGCTAGTCTAATATGTCCAACCTTGAAAATGTAGCAGATGTCTCTCAGTTGTAGGCATGTTATATAATTAAATAAATTTAGACCTACCTGCAATAATCTTGGATACTCTTTTTTCCTGATTTGTTTGTAATTATTAGTCTTTGATTTGATTCTGCCATTATTAAGAATAGAAAAGAATTTGCAAAACTCAGGTTGCTAGGACTGTTTTTTGCTGACCCTGTATTGATGTTCTTATTGGGGTGAGCTACTAAGAGGGCCGATGGTGGAAGCGTCATGGGAGCATTTGAAATAGAACACCAATAAATAAATAACAAGCACCAGACCCCTGGGGGTCATGTCTAGGACAACTCACCACAGCCAACTCAACTGAGGCCATCTTGCCACAGCCAACTTGCTGTGGCCAACTCACTACGGCCAACTCGCCCTGGCACAATTCGCCACAGTCAACTTGCCATGGGACAAAACTTACATAATATCAAATAAATGATGGAATAGAACCATTAGAGAAAGGATGCAAAAGGAGGAACAAAATGAAATGGGAATGACAAAAACTAAAATATTTTTTGAATTATTTTAGATAATTAAATTAAATTATTGAATTGTCCTGCAGCAAGTTGTGCCACAGCATGTTGGCCACTGCCAACATGTTGGCTGTGGCAAGCTGGCCATGGTGAGTTAGCCTTGGTGAATTGATAATGGTGAGTTGGCCGCGGCAGGTTGGCTATGGCAAGTCATCCCATTCCACTGGGGCTCCTATCTGAGGCAGAACAGCAACAGCAGAAGATCTCCCAGAGGTATGACAGTGATGTTGGGCGAGCCGTCCTTTGCTGCTGTTCAAAGGGTCTTTCATTATATTTAAGCACCCTCAGCCAGTCTGTGGCAAGGCACAATGTAGATATGCGAGATATCCTGCCTAGGGACCTATGTTGTTATATTGGTTCTCTTGTGTTTCTGCATGCACAGAAGGTAAAAAACACATTACTTTCTGGTTAAAACCAGGAAGTAGTGACACCTGGGCGGGTGGGTGGAGCTTTGCTCGGCCATCGCTACTGGATCGCTGAACCAACCGCGACGATCGCTACCGGATTGCCCGATCCGGTCTGAATCGGGAGCATTTCACCCCTGACTTTAAGCAAGAAGAAATTTAATGGAGATAATTCATTCTGATATCTCTTCATATGAATAACTGACAAAGTATGAAGAGGGACAAATCGCACCCTATTTTTAATTTAGAGTGGCTTTGGGGCCATAATATATTCTATTTAGATTCAACTATTTTGAATTTGCTCACTGCACAGGAATATCTGCAAAGTGTAATGCTTTCTAACAGCTGTATGGAAGAGCAAACATGGAAATGTTCCTTGTGCATAATAGCCATGAAATTGCATTGAATATTGTACGCTGTTATTAGTGCCTTGCGAACACCTAATTTGAAAGATTAATGAAAATGACAAATATGATTACTCTATGTTTATTGCCAATACCTTTTACTGGCCAAGCTTTTCTTATTTCTCCTTTATAAAATGATGTCAATTGGAAGATGCCAATTATTATAATTCCATTTGTATGTGTGTATGTGCTAAGTTCCAGAATATATCACCTTATAGTTCCTACATGTAACTGCATGATTGTGTTGAATTGCCATGGAGAAGTTATCTTTAAAATCTTCTGCCCCTTTTATAGCTGGGTATTTCCTTATTGTAGGGGCACAATGGCTCAGGGGTTAAAGACACTGAACTTGTAAGCTGGAGAGCTGACAGCCTGAGTTTGATACCTGATCTCCGCGCAAATGGGGTGAGCTCCTATCATTTGCCTTGCCTCCTGCCCACCAAGCAATTTCAAAGCATGCAAATGCAAGTAGATTAATAGGTATCACTTCAGTGGGAAGGTAACAGTATTCCACATGCCTTGTCAACTTTCCTCTCTTGTGTTTTGGAGCCCACTGACTTGGATATACTTAGAAGACCCATGACAAAAAGGACAAACCAATTGGATTGTTGCATCCTGCAGTTTAAGCAAGAAGGAATCTAATGAAGATAATTCATTCAGATGCCACTTCATATGAATAACTCACAAAGTATGAAGTTGGACTCAATTGGAAAGGAGAAACGCCTATCTATGATGGTCATTTGTTCTCCCCTGTGTGATGGTTTCACTGCTCAAAGCTAGAAGTGGGGGAAGAGAGGGAAGATGAGAGAGAAGGGGAGATGGAGAGGAAGAAAATCTGTTTTCTTTACAGATATACCTCAACTTTTGTATGCAAATATAAAACGGTCAATAAACAAGGAGATTAAAAAACATGACATGGCATTAATCAAGGGAACCCATAGATTCTTATAAGGATAGTTGAGATTATCTGGGCTTCCAATGACTCTGCCTGAATTCTCTTCTGCTGCTTTCAACAGCAGGAAGTTACTGTCCCTTAAACAGACCTCAGAAATCCTCTTCCAAACAAATTCGGATTTTTTTTACACCTGTAAAATGACCTATAGTTTAGACTATTCCTGCACCATATCTCAATCTTTTTATTTTGTCACATGATTAAAGGCAGTGTTTCTCAACCTCGGCCACTTGAAGATCTTCAAGTGGCCGAGGTTAAGAAACACTGGTTTAAGGTGTTTGAAAAATGGTCTCGTACCTGTTTCAAGAATAAGCCCTTAAATTCCCATTTACTTCATTTTCTCTTTATTAGATTTTCCTTTCTTTTTTTTTTTTAATTTATTTATTTTTTTAATTTTATTTATATGCCGCCCTTCTCCGGAGACTCAGGGCGGCTTACAATGCGTTAAGCAATAGCCTTCATACTTTTGTATATTTATACAAAGTCAGTTTATTGCCCCCACAAACTGGGTCCTCATTTAACCTACCTTAGAAAGGATGGAAGGCTGAGTCAACCTTGAGCCTGGTAAGATTCGAACCTGCAGAAATTGCAGGCAGCTGTGTTAATTACAGGGTGCATTAAACCACTGTACTACCAAGGCTTTCTAGTATTCTTATCACCCTTACTATCATTCCCTGAGCTAATTTGACTGAATCCTTATTGGCGCCCAAAACTGGATGCTATGCAAGGTGAGAACTGGCCAAATACAGATATAGAAACCACGTTCCAGTTGATGCGGTTTCAAACTGATTTGCCTTTGGTGCAGCCAATATCACACCACTGACTCATCACTTGGTATGTAATTAGTTACTGTTCCAAAATCTTTTTCATAAGGACTGCTGCTAAACTAGCAATGCCTGTGCATTCCATTTCAGTTTCCCAAGTGAAGAAATGTACATTTCTCGGTGTTAAATTTCCCTTTTTTTATTTTCAGCTCCTTTCCTAGCCTCTCAATACCGTACTGATGCTTCCACTTCATCCCAGTCATGAATAAACATGTGGAGGAGTAGAGGACCCAGTCTGAACTCTGTGGCACCCTGCTTGATGCTTCAGCTCATTCTCCAAATTCCCTGAATGCCTGAGAGGGATGCTACACTGAAAGAACTCTGGGAAATGTAAATGGCATCCAGATAAACATGGCAGCTGTTTAGAGAACTAGGCCAAAAGATAACCAGTGACCCAGTTCCTTTTATGATGGGCCCAGCAAAGATGAGATAGGGTGGCTGCAACTGTCTGGGAATGTAGAGTTGTCCTATTCCTGTCTAACTGTTTGTGTACTACCTAAATACTTTCTTCTAACCAATCTGAGATGCAGACACCATAGCTAGGAAAACAGATTGCACATCACATGCTGAGGGAAGACGACACTTGGAAACTTTCAGACACAGCAAGAAAAAGTGAAGCCTTTTCACTGAGCTTTATTTCTTGAGTCTGTTTCAAAATCTTGTCAGACGCCCAAGTGTTTGTTTTCATGCTCCAGATTCTCAGGTAAGACTGTTTTTGTTTGTTCTGACACGCTGCAGCAACAAACAGGATGCTTTTGTTTACGCTAACATTATATTGTGCGTCTTTAAATAATCTGGAAATATTTTGATTTCTCTCCCATTGCTTTATGTTGCTTCTCTGAGAGAAGGACGGCTCACAAACAAGGTGTGACACCTATGGTGGATAAAGTAGAAAACCTAGAAAACTGACCGCAGAAAAGGCCCCTTTGAGGGTTTTTTGTTTGTTTTTCTTTTCTTTTAATTTATTTATTATTTAATTTTCACATCAACGGGAGGTGGTGATATCAGTCAATACAGTCTAGGGGCACCATATACTTTTGAGCTGGCCCTGGGTCCAGTGAAGTAAGGCAGTCAAGAATAATAGCAGTCCAGCCTTGTTTTGCATGTAGGAAGTTATCTTAAATTTGCGTATGATAGAAGAGTATGTTCAACCTTCCTTGATAGTGGGACTTCTTCTTCTGTCTGGTTATTTGTGTTGTCCTGGTGGCAAAATTGTGACTCAGTTGCAAAGCTCTTGATGACCATTAGACCACTAGAAGACACAAAGGATCAAGTTAGAGAGAGATCTTCACGGAGAAAATCCATCTGCTAGGAGTAGCTAAGTAGCTCTGTAGCTAAGACTTGATGGCATCTAATCGCTAAATGGCAGCAGTGAGGTCCTGTTTTCTATTTCTCTTTGAGCAAAATCCATAATTTTAAAACTACAAAATTATCTCAGGCAGGTGAAGATAAGTCAAATAACTATCTTATCTCTTATTCTTTGCTCTCTGCCACTTTACTACTAGATTTAGTTTTTTAAAAAATGCATGGAAGATTGGGACATCATATATTTCACCCAAACTGGATTAAGAAATTCATCCCAGAGATAGTAATATTGATCTCTCTTGTATGCTTCTATCTTAAATGACAATCTGTTGAAACTGGTTCTGGGTCTCTTAATATAAAACACATTGCTGCCATTTTGAAATGCAGAAGTAGCACTCTTTTCAATGTGATTATTTTTTTTTCAAAGATGACTGCTACAGCTGCTTAAAATTATATTGTAATTCTAATTTTAAGATGCTGACATCGTGTGCTTTGCAACCTTTCCCTCTTAAATCTCTACAGATTGACATGTTGAAACTGATATGAAGATTAAAGCAGAAATTCAGGCTATGATAATTAGTTTGATTTTTTTTCCCCTCCTGCCAAAAATTGTTTCCGCCTCTAAAGTCTGTACGCGTTGTCCAGCCAGATTGCTATTTTTCAAAATAATTTCCTAATTTCTTTCTTTTTTCTTTCCTTCTCCATTCTGATTGATTAATGGCATGGTTGCTTGTTAGTGTAGTTTGCCTTTGAGACATGTTTTAAAAACTCTTTCCTAGTGGAGCAGAACTCTGTCGATATACCCTTCCCTTTGTTCACTATATGCTGAAAACTTATTATTTATAGCGTCTTCTTCTTTTCTGCTACCTTCTCTCATTTGTTATTGTCTTCCCAGGCTATCCGACAGCCCTGGAATTTCTTGGTGATCTCCCTTCCAAGTACTGACCAGTTCTGATTCTGCAGTCCTTATCTTTTAGAGTGCCATCAAAGTCAGCTGGGTACTCAAGAAAACTCCCCATTCTTCTGTTGACTTTGAAGATGCATTCAGGCCTTGAACTGACACCCTTCCCAAACTGCTCTTCAAAGGAAGCAGGGATCTGTGAACATTTGGATGATTCTGCAAACATTTAGAATAAGTTTCTAAAAGAAAAAAAATCTACTTTTGTCTCTTTTTAGCAAAGCAACTCTGTTGAATTATTCTTGTACCGTTTGCATTTTCATTGTTTACACCTAAAATCTGCCATTGGCTTTTACTGGGAAACTTACTTTCTTTCTTTCTTTCTTTCTTTCTTTCTTTCTTTCTTTCTTTCTTTTTGTTGAAAGCATTTTATGGGCCTTAGGGTCTTTTTTTTTTTTTGCCCCTTAAGCTTATCTTGCCCCAAGGGGAAGCTTTATTGCAAGAATCTGAACTGAAGCTATGATAGAATGCAGCATACTGAGATAGATATAGAACATCAATGGGGAGCCTTACGTAAGAATGGAGGGACTTTGCATCTTGAATATTCAAAACTGCCTTCATCTTATCTCCATTATACCTCAAATTAGGACCTGTCATTAGCAAAACATAGATTTGCATCCATAAGTGCAAATGGGATTTCTAGGGCAGATGCCTTCCAACCAGTGGTGGGTTGCTCCCGGTTTGGACTGGTTTGTAAGAACCGGTAGTAAAACCGGTGGGAGGCTCCGCCCACTGACCCGGATGTCATCATAGGTGATCTGTGCATGCGCAGAAGCTTCTGCGCATGCGCAGAAGAGCGCTTGCGCACTGCAAACCGGTAGTAAAGGTAAATAGAACCCACTGCTTCCAACCCTGGCAGAGATCTCTCCTACTGTTTGATGGGGCTTTTAAAAACTTATTATCTCTAGCCACACCAGAGAAATGGTATTCTCTTCTTAAATGGCTTAAATGGCTGTATTTATTTTGTTTGCATACTGCTTATTAGATAAGTGATTGAGAAGAACACGGGATAGTTACTACAGAGAGTAACTAATGTATAATTGCAACAAACTGGAGATCTAACTGGAGCAGATTTACCGAGGACTGCTAAGGCTGAAAAACTCATATGAACCACCAAAGGGCAGAAAAATAAGCTTTGCTATATCTCTAAAAATCACCTGGCTTCTTGCACCTCAGATCTGATGGTCCTAGATTGACCTAACTTGTGATCTCTAGATGTATTTGATTGCAACATCCATAATATTCCTAACAAAAATAAAGGCAGCTACAGTACAGTGAATCTGCACGGGACTAATTATTAGAATGAACTTGCACTGGAATAATTATTAGAATGATTAGAATAATGAGAGGAGGTGTGCTTCGAGCTCCTGCAAACGTGGCTATAAAACACATTTAAAAAAAAACAAACTTCCGTCTGTCTTCCCGAGATTGAATCAGAGAAGATTAACTGCTGACTCAAAGGGAAGGTGAGGAACCTCAGTTTATCCCTCTGTGAAGTACCCTCCCTGGAGTATATATTCCCTCTTGCTACTACACTGCTTGGAAGACCTAATTTACTTACTGGCAGACAGGTGATTTACAGCCTGACATAGTGAGACTTATTGCATTTCTCCGTACAAGCAAGAACTCATAAACAAGGCTTAACACCGGCAATAAGTAATACAGGAAAGAAAGAAATCTTTGCAAGTGAACATAGTGAATGCATGATTCTCATTCCTTACGTATTTTAAGTGGGAGAAGTAAGGGGCAGCCTTATGGGTACATATTTGAAGACAGACAAAGATGTTTGGGACCCTGGTCTTCCTGTGGCAAGTAACTGACCTTGCCATATGCAGCAGACTTCTTTCCCCCCACAAAATAACTAGACCCTATTTTGGTCTCTGACAATAAGATAATTGGGACTAACTACCTGAAGAACAGACAGTGGACTCCCAAGATCTGTATTTCCCAGAGCCAGAGATTCCTGGGTATAATTTTGCTTCTGAATTGGTTGAACTACCTGATCTTGAACCTTGTGCAGAGTGTGCAGAGAAGAGCAACAAAGATGATTAGGGGACTGGAGGCTAAAACATATGAACAACGGTTGCTGGAATTCGGTAGGTAAAGTTTAGTGAAAAGAAGGACTAGGAGTGACATGATAGCAGTGTTCCAATATCTCAGAGGCTGCCGCAAAGAAGAGGGAGTCAATCTATTTTCCAAAGCACCTGAAGGCAGGATAAGAACCAATGGATGGAAACTAATCAAGGAGAGAAGCAACCTAGAACTAAGGAGAAATTTCCTGACAGAACAATTAATTGGTGGAACAACTTGCCTCCAGAAGTTGTGAATGCTCCGACACTGGAAGTTTTTAAGAAGGGACTGGATAAGAGATTTGTCTGAAATTGTATAGGGCTTCCTGCCTGAGCAAGGGGTTGGACTAGAAGACCTCCAAGGTCCCTTCCAACTCTGTTAACAACTCTGTTGGTCTTCTAAAACATAATCTCAAAAACTCTTTGTGTGGAAGGGTAAAATCTAAGACCTGTACTTGCCAGGCAAAACAGCAAGCAGTATTATGTTTCAGCATAAAGGATTTTGCTCAATGCAGCCAACCCAAAAGGCTTTATCAGACCTAGTCCACTGCTGGTAGTAAAGCACAGGTTATAGATACTTATTCTTCTAAATAATTATGTGCCCATGACATTGTATGCCTACAGAGGCATGGCTCTGTGAACAACAAAGAGGTTTAATATATTTGCCGGACTTTAGAACCTGCTTTATTCCAGCAGTCAAAAAAAAAAAAAAAAAGATTCTATGGGACCTCCGCCAGTTGGCTCCTCCATTTTAGTAAATTGGAAATGGAATTTAGAATGCAAGCAAATCAAATTAGTCTTCTCCTCTCACCTGTTACTGGTGAAGCTGTGGGCTTAAAACAATATTTTTTAAAAAATATTAATATTTATCTTCCTCCCCCCCCCCCAAGAATTGCAATACTCGCATAGAAAGAAACAAGAAACAACTGAAAGGATCAGTACTGTAGAGCAATTCTGGAAACGTGGAAAAAGAGAATATTTGAATCTTTGCGGCTTAGAAAAAAGTAGTTAAAAATATAATATGCATGAAATATGGAAAGTGGAATAGAAGGGTTTTTTTTCCTCTTTGCCCCAAAGTTCTACAAAGCAAGGTCATCCAATAAGAGATTCAGCCAAGAAAGAATAAATAATCTTATCTATGCAGAACAGTTAACCAGTTGAAAATGTACCCATTCACATGGATGGCTTTAAAAGAAGATTTGACCAAGCCATGGGCAATAAATCTAATTACTGCCAAATGTATCTAATAGAAACCACAAAGAAACTATATCCGTCATTGTGTGATGGACCATTGTGCAAATGATATGAAATATGCAATCTGCATCTATGGCACAAAGATGTAAATTATGTTTAGTATGAAATATCCATCAT